GTTTATTTGCGTGTATAAATCCAAAGGATTTTCCTGGTATGAAGGCTAGTTCGGGGTTGACGAAACGGTTGAAGGAGCAGGGGTGTCTGATTAGTATCAAGAAGGGGAACGAGAAGAGGGAGACGCCTGGGGGTGGGGGTGGGGGTGGTGGGAGGAGGGGGGCCGAGGAGGTTGAGGAGGAGGAGGAGGAAGGGGAGGGGGATAGTGAGGGGGAGGGGGAGAAGAGGGGGAGGAAGAGGGTGAAGAGGAGCGCGTGACTCGCTGGGGTGTTTTGTTGTTTGCTCCTCCTCCCTTTTTGGAGGGGGGCAGGGGATGGTGATGATGATTATGATGATGAGAGGACACCGCTCAGAAAGGGCGGAGAGAAGAGTGGCGGGTGGCATTTGAAATGCTAACGCCACGGTGACAATAACAACCACAAGCAACAGAGCTGAACTGGTCAACCATACAGACAAGTTCAGATGCTTTTTTTCCAGCAAAGAGCGAACAGATACCCCATCATCTTGTTTTTTTAATCTCCTATTTCACTTTTCTTTCCGAGAAAACACCCACATGACGGAACAACAGCAACAATCATGAAGGGACGAACTGGACAAAAGCAAACGGGAAAAGTTCGGGGCCACGGAACACAGAGGGACCAAAACGGACTGCGAGTACGGAAAAACGAGTCTCCTCCGGGTTGGATGTTTTTTTTTCTTGCTCTTTTTGGGTGTAACTGGTGTCGCTTGAACTAGATCTCTTTTATGAGACTTTTGGTATCACGGTTCGGTTGGCGAGGGCGACGACGGAGTTAAGAGTGAGCATGTCAAGCTTGTGCGTTTCGTTCTGCTTTTTGCTTTTATGGTCTTACCGATACGGAGAGAAAGACTGGGAAACAAGTTCTGTGTGCATTTTGCATCTTAGCGAGCTTTCTAAGAGAGAAGAGAGGGAGATACCAAATCAACATCGATCAAAAGTGTTCTACTCATTCATGAGGCCTGTTCCGGTTTGACCAGTGGTTTAAATGTCAATGATCAGAGAATGGGGGTGTAGTATGATTTGGCATGAGAAAATGACCTGAGGTGCTTGAGCGAGCGAGTGAGTGAGTGAGCGTGCTGCTCAGCTAATTCAGCATGAGTATGTTAAGTGAGAGCGTGAGCAAGAAAGCTCACCTCGCCATAAAAAGATAAAACGTCACTATGCGGGACATCTCTCTCAACCCCATCACCAGATCCAGTATCCCGGCCTATCCTTCACAACCTCTCAATTTCGGCAACCTCGACCGCAAAAACGCATGTCTAAAACAACCCTCACAACCTTCCTATGTCTCAAAGTGAGGTGGCGTGCTACATACCTCCAGAAAAATAAACAATACCTCTGACTCAACCCACAATCGGGAAACCTCCCATTCGTGATTCATACCTTTCCCTCCTCATGCATACTGTGCAGCAAGCCACCACCCCCAAAAAAGCAACAACAACACACCTACCTACATATACATACATACACACTAGAAATTTCCATACCGTGACAATCACCCCAAAAAGACAAAACCAACCCCCATCCTCTTTCGGACCCCTTCCACCCCTCCTAACTGGCCACAATCCCCCCCTTTCCCTTTCACCGGTTTCACCACAGTGCGCGCGCCGCGATCTTTCCTTTCTTCTTTTCCCGGTGTGATAGAGAGCACATACGTAAGACTACACTAGTACACATGTAGGTTGCCGATCTCCCTCTTCTAGTCGCTTCCCATATGCAAATGCACCTCCAACTAACAACAACAAACCAGGTTTTGTACACGACAAACCCAAAACAAGCATCATCCTTGTTCACTTTGGGAATCACACATCCGACTGAGGAAGGGAATAAGAAAATCTAGGAATGTTTGCTCCTGGTTTTGTCTTTCATTCTCTTGGCTGCTTGGAAGAGGTTGGAGATTGAGCAGAAGGTGGGGTGGGGGTTATACACATCACTCTAGATAAGGCAAGGCTGTAAATCACAAGCGCGGCTGACGAGCACTGTCAATGAAAGCAAACCCAAAACACCTGCTTTTCATTTTTATAAACCTTCCTGGATATCAAGACCAGAAACCAACAGTGAGTAACTACTGTAGAGACAATTACATTTTAACAAAAAGAAAGAAAAAACCATGATTTGGCCATGCCGGTATCAACTCCGCCTCCCCCCTCCTCCCGTGAATAATGCTTCCTTCCCCTTCCCCCTCCTTATCAATATCTCAAATTTACACACCCCTACTCTCTACTCATCATCATCGCTCTCCTCCTCCTCCTCCTCAACAACCTTCCCCTTCTTCTCAGCCGCCTTCTTAGCCCACTCCTGCGCCTTGGCGCTAACCCTCTCCCTGCTCTTCTTATCCCCATTCTTATCCTCCCACTGCGCCCACCTCTTGAACCAAGTCTTGGCCTGCTTGGGCTTGAGACCCTTAACCTTGCTGCCGCGATCAAACAAATCACGGACAGTGGCGGGATCACTAGTGCCGACCGAGGTCTCAAGGTCGACAAACTGGTTCCACAAGTCGAATCTCTTGGGGAAGGCGGCGAGAATGGTCTCAAACAGTGAGCGACCCTGTTCGCGGTCACCGTTGGAAGAGCGGAACTCGAGCGCGGCAAACTTGGGCATCAACTCCAGAATGACGGGCTTCCCGCCTCCCAGCGACTTTTCGGCGCGGGGAAGAAGGGCACGGGCCTTGTCGGGACGGTCATACTTGGTGTGGAGGAAATGGGCATAGTTGATCCAGACGCTGGGGGACTTGGAGCCGAACTTTTTGATGATCTTCTCAAAGAGGTCATCTGCTTCCTATTGCTGGGAGTTAGTGACTGGTCTATCATAAAAATAAATTAGGGAGTGGCTTACCTTGAGCTTGCCAGACTGAATGTAACTGCTGGCCAGACGCTCATAGACTTCTTGCTCATCGTTGTAGGTGCAGGCACGCTTGAAAAGCTCCTCAACAGTCTCTTCTGTGCCATAGGCAACCTCGAGATTGAGGTAAGCAATCCAGACGTTCAGCTTCTCAAGCTCCTCCTTGATGTTGATCGTCTTGATCGCACGCTCAGCCACCTGTCTCGCGCTGGCAAGATCGCTGACTTGCATCTGGAAAGCCATGTAGGCAATCCACAGCTCTGACGAATCAGGCTGACCCAGAAGGAGACGCTCGTAATCACTCGTCGTCTGAGGCCCGTTGACATCAAGCTCGGCTGTCCGGTCGACCTGGGCCCGAGACTCACGCTGCTGCTGCTGCTTCTTTTTCTTGATCGGCTCATCAGTGCTGCCAGCGGCCTTGTCATCTTCATCCAAAGCATCGGCATTCCAGCTGAAGCCGCCGGTCTCGAGACCCTTGACGCCTTCTGTTTGGGCATCATCCATCTCGACGTTGCTGTCAGCGTCATCATCATCATCCTCATCGTCAGAGTCAGCATTGATAACGAGGGCGCCGCCAGCACCAGCATCGCTCATGTCTTCATCCTCGCTGTCCAAGGCGGCACCAGCATCTTCATCGCTATCCACGTCCATCTCATCGTCGTCCTTAAAGTACGACGGCTTCAGGCCGAGGTTGATGCGCTTTGTCTTCTCCTCCACCTTGAGAACACGAGCCTTGACCTTGTCACCCTCACTGTAGAGCGCCTTGGCGTCCTTGATCGCTCTGTCGGCCATTTCAGAGCGGTGGCACAAACCGGAGAGACGATCAGAACCATCAATGTCGATAAAAGCACCAAAGTCCTCCACCTTGCGGACCTTGCCCGTCACGATTTGACCTTCCTTCAGGTCCGAGAATGTGATTGGGGGCACATAGTCTTTGCTCAGGATGGAAGGCCTCAAGCTCATCTCCAGGCGACCGTTGCTTACAGAAATGATACGGCCCTTGACAAGCTGGTCAATCTGGAAGTGCTCCTTCCAGTCCTTCAGGTAAGAGTCTGATAAGTTCTTGATCTGGACCATAGCCACAATGTCACCACCAAGCGTAACAAAGAGACCCTTGTCAGACACATTCTTGACGAACCCACGAAGGACATCGCCCACAGCGATCTTGGTGTCCTTAGTGATCTCCTTGTCTGTAACCTCGAGTCTTGAGCTGAGCACGCGAGAGGGGCGCATCGACAATCTCAGTCTCTTGTTGCTCTTGTCGATATCGAGCACGGCGACACGGACAATTTCGTGCTTGGAATGCTTCAGAGGGTTGGCTTCCTCGTAATCATCCGCAAGATCGCACAAGAAAACAGGTCCAGCCACAGACTCGCTGAGCTTAACAAACACGACGTTGTCGGTAGTCTTGGTGACCTTTCCAGGAAGCACCATGCCCTTCTGGATCTTGTCCCAGGTCAACGGGTTCTCTGCATTGGGATCGCGAGCCGAGAGGTCGAGACGGTTCCTCTCTGCGTCCACGTGGATGACACGGACTTGGAGGACAGAGCCGATAGGGAAACTCTTCGCCACATCCTGCAATTTTGACAAGTCATCGGAAAGCTCAACGGCGCTGATTCTGCCGCGAACATTAGGTGACAGGTTGACCCAGATGTGATTCTGAGCGACATTGTTGACAAACGCCAGATGAGTTTGCCCCACCTCAAGCTTCGCGTAGCTCAGAGGCTCTGGGGTAGAGCCTTCTTGAAGATCACTTGGCTTGGCCGAGAGCTCCAGGACCGTGTGGCTTGAGCGGTGAGAAATGGGCAAGAAACGGTGGTTGCGAGCGTCATGAATACCAAGAACACGCACGTCGATGATATCGCCAGTCTTGAACTTGCCCAAAGGCTTCTTCACGCTGCGAATGTCCTCGAACTTGTCAAAGACCTGCGAAACATCGATACGGCCTTGGATGTTGTCGGCAAGGTCAACATTGATCTGTGTATCCTTGGCAGACTTTACCCTCGCCTTAGTGATCTTGCCAATCGGGAGATCTTCCATAGTCAAGACCGACAGATCCAGGGCATTCATAGCCTTGTCGGCCGACTTGCTAGAGGCCTTTGCCTGAACGTCTTCACCACCCTCCGATGGGATAGCAACAACGATACGGTTAAGATCCTTGTCGACCGATGTGATCTTGACAGTGACAGACTGCAGCTTTTGGAAGCCAAAGCTTGGCTTATCCTGGATATCGCGTGGCAGCTTGGTCTTGGGGAGCAGCGCTGTCAGCCTGCCAGCAAACTGGACGAAGGCGGCCGTGGCAGTGATGTTGCGAATGAAGCCAGGTACAACGTCACCCACACGTGCCCGGTCAATTGTGTGAAGAAGCTTGCCCTTCTTCGCCGCTTCGACAAGGCTTGGCTTGTGAGAGAGGATGATGGACCGACGAGCTTCGTTCTTTTCAAGAACAACCAGTTCCGTAAGAGTCTGATTGACGTGGATCTTCTTGAGCGCAGACTGTGTTTTGCTGACCGACTTGTCGGTGAGGTGTCTGACAGGGAGGATGGCCTTCAACGAGCCCTCGACGAGCTCGACAAAGATATCATCTTCTGTCTTTTGTGTGACCTTGGCGGTAACCAAGTTGCCAATTTGGAGCTTCTTCAGTGCAACCTGCTTCTCCAAACCAAAGGCTGATGGGTCCTTGCAGGACACAATCATTCTCTTTTCCTCAGGGTCAAAGCTGAGGACGTAAACACTAATAGTCTGGCCCTCACGGAAATGCTCCTTGGGATCCTGGATGTAGGCCTCGCTCATCTCAGACACCGGAAGGAAACCACGAAGCTGTCCGTAAAACTGAACGATAGCACCCCGATCCAGAAGCTTAACAATGGTACCGAACGTCTGAAGCCCGACGGCAAGCTCGTCGTATGACTTGACCGGAGGAGCATCGGAGTTCACCAGTGTCTTCTTCAAGGTAAGCCGCAGCTGATGTCTTGCTGGGTTGGTTGACAGGACACGGGTCTTGACCTTCATTCCTTCCCTGAATTTCTTCTCGGGGTGCTGCAGATGGACATCGGAAAGATGCATTTCAGGAACCAGACCGGAAATACCCTCGGCAACCTTCACGATCAAACCGCCAAGCCCATGCTCGTTGACGACCAACTTTTCAACCACACCCGGCACCACCACTCCCACGGGGATGTCTTGTATTCTCAAGAATGGCTGCTCCAAGACACTCTTCTCCATCGACAGGTTGTACATGCCATCGAAAGGATTGTAGCCAACTACACGAGCAGCGTGGACGGACCCAACCTTGTAAGGGCCGCTGGTCTCGAACAGCGAGTCCACCTTGCCATCCTTCACTCTGGAGATGTGCACGAAGCCTGGTACACCCTCGACACCAACATCGACATAGAGGCCAATTTCGGGCTCAACCCTTTGAACAGTGCACTTTTCAATGATGGTAGAATGGGCGAGAATGTCCACTGGCAATGATTCGATGCCGTTCTTGGTTTTGGCGATTTTCGGTTTAAGTGACAGCACGTGTGGCAGCAGGGAAATGCCGAGTTTGGGCTTTCTTGCGGTGGGGAAATTGCAGATGATCCTCGCCTTGATCCGCGAGCCAACCTTGTACTCGTCCACAATGTCAACGGCACCAGGGCCAGCGTTTGAGTGAACCAGATCAGCAGTCACATCCAAATGACCCATCACCTTGCCCACAAGGCCGTGCTCGGTGACTTCGGAAACCAGGATATCGGCCGCGGTGCCTGGTAGGAACGAGTCGATAGTCGTGGCCTCGGATGGGAAGCTTTTGATGCTGCCGATGCGGTCCTCCAAGGTGGAAAGCTGTACAACCTTGCCGCTGGCAGCTTTGCTGGTCGCAATACAAAGCAGAACTGAGCCAGGCTGAACACTTTCTTCCGGAATGCCCTTGTCGAGTTGTTTCCGAGGCAAAAAGCCCTTCAATTTTGAGTCTGAGATGTTGACATCCATAACAAAACCATGATCCTCCACACTAACAACCGAAGCCATAAGAGTAGTGTTCTCGACGATATCCTGCTCTGACATGCCAGAGTTGGCGAGCGCCGGCTGGAGTGATAGCTCAATGTGGCGCTTGGGCTTTCCGTCGACCGAATCATCGTGTGTTGATACAACGTAGGCGCGAACATACTGGCCCATTCGGAAGATAGTTTGGAGGTCGATGTTCTCGTCGTCCTCGTCTGCTTGATCCTCCTCCTCGTCCTTCTCGGCGATTGCCTGTAACCTTTGTGTAAAGATATCTGAAATAGCCGTAATTGGAACGTGGCCGACGAGGTTGTTGGGAAGCGCAACGGCAACATCGGTGAGGTTGATGCCGCAGACTGTACCGAGCACCAGGGAGCCCTTGACCAAGCGCTGGAAGTTGTTAGCAACGCCATCAATGGCAACCCCATGACGAAGTTCCTCTTCTTACCTTGAAGTTCAAGCTTTCTACCTTGATGGCATCCTCGTCTTTTACAGGTTCTACCTCTCCACCCTTGGACTTGCGTGCCTTCTTCTTCTTGGATTTCTCTCCTCCAGATTTCTTGCTGGCAGCCTCTTCGAAGAGGACATCGTTCTTGGCCTGGATCTGAATTTGCTTTTGTTCGAGGGGGGTCAAGACACTGGCGCCACCTCTGGGAAACAATGGCTCTTCCTCCTTGATCAGAGATGTTGCTGGGGTAGACGGCTTTGATGGTTTTGCGTCGCCCTTCTTGTTGGAGTCCTTGGTTGAATCGCTTCCTTTCGCCCTTTTGGAGGGTCGCGTATCATTTGTAGGCTTTGCCGACTTGGAGGCAGAGCCGTCGGGGCCCTCTTTGCGCTTTAACGAACCCATGGCGGATAGTTGATGTTTGGGTCGTTGTAAGTGACGGGAGGCTCGTTCGCAACCACAAGAAGCTGGCACCCACCACAAAAATTTCTGGTGGGTCCTGCCCATTGGCGATAACGATAACAAAAGCGGTGAACGGCACCGGTGGGGCTTTGGAAGAGACCCTGGATCATCCCAGAGTTGACATGGAACGCTTCTGCTTCTGCCGAAGATGTTCAACCTGATAATCGGATGAACTACAGATGGCAATATGACCTACCAAATGACTAATTTTCTAGCCAAACACTCCATCTTCTGTCCAAATTAGCATTGTTCTCTTTTCTTACATTGGTATTTCTCATGCAAGATGTCATGGTCAAACCAGGGTTAGGGTAGAGTACAGCAACGCCCCATCACTCACCTCTTCGTTACTTGCCCACCACATGCTCCTCCCCACGTTCACTTGACGCCTGAAACCTTGAAGCCCAAAGATATGGAAAAACTGAACTTCATGGCTGTTGTTGGAGAATTGGACGAGCTGGTTGTTGGTTGCTAACTTCAAGTAGAGTAGTGTATATGTAAAGATACGTGGCCCAAGCTTTCGACGTTGCAGTTCCAGGGACCAGCCGCTGATACAGTCTTGTCAATGGTGTTTGATTTGGAGTCTTTGGAGGGGGATCATCCTGTCAGGCAATATGGGTGTTAGTGACAGCTTTCACGACGGTGAGCTATGACTGTCTACGGACAATTATTTAGACCGACAGCTGGAGTTGACCGACTGTTTATCCGAGCGAAGAGTGTCTCACATGGAATTTAAACTTTCGGTGTCCAAAGCCAAGTCTCGCAAATGCATGGCCTGTAAAATGATCCCGTGCGCCCAGAAGCGGCTTTCGGTAGTGCCCCCAACCACTGGGATGACGTATCCGGGGGTCGTTCCTCGGCCACCCACTCAACAAGTCGCGCCGTCACCCAAACGCAACCTGAACACATGGCCCAAGGCAACGACAACTGAGAACAAAAAGACGACAAGACAGCCCCCCATCGCCTCAAACCCATACTCCATACGACACTCGAACTCAAGCGACTACACCCTGGACTGGTAGGACACTCGCGAGAACCCCATCAGAGCCGCCATGGCTCCCAGGAAACGAGCAAAGCCGAACCCGGTCCAGCAGAGTGCGCCAACAACGCAGTCATCAGACACTGCGGATCAAATCACATCGCCGGCCGCCTCTACACCCCCACAGAGCATTCCGCCATCTCTGAAAACCCATGGAAGTGGCGATCGCGCATCCAGCTCTGGCCCAGGCTCGAAGCAGGTAAGCACCATTATCCCATGCGCGCCATCCTCAAGCAGCCCCTTTAGGCAACTCTTATCGATTGACACGTAGCAGGTGAACAAGACTCGTAGTTGGTATGGGTCTTTATCGAAGAAGTCTGCAGCATCCACCCAAGTTGCGCGCGAGACCATCTTGGGTGGAACCTCGAAACCTATGGCTACCGCCGACTTTACTCGGTTTGATACAAAGAAGCCTTCTGATATGAGTGGCGACGAAGCACCGACCCCTGCTCCTTCTTCACTATCGAAATCACACGATTCTGGCGTTGGATTCGCGAGCGATGGAACCCGAGGCCTGAAAACACCGAGCTCCAAGACCGTTGTGAAGCCTGCAAACGGACAGGCAGAGGCCAAGACTACGGCTAAGTCGGAGGACGTGGTCATGGAAACCGAAGACAATGGGAAAGAACAAGAAGAGACACCACCTGCCAAATCAGCTACGGATCAGAGTACAGGTCCTACGGTACCCACTGCGTCTGCAGCTACAACTACGCGACCTACATCAACATGGCTAGGAGGGTGGTGGGGAAGCTCACAGCCTCCAGCTCCAGCATCAGCACCGGCCTCGCAAATGGACGTCGCGGAGGAACCAGCCACACAAGCAACACTTGCTGGTAGCCAGGTCCCAGAGAACGCAACACAAGAGCCCGCCCCTCGAGACCCGCCAGAACAACAGTCGCCGGACATAGCCGAGCAAACCGAGGCACAGAACCAAGCACATGCCGCTACTGGTGGAGGTTATGGATCTTGGATCTGGGGTTGGGGAGCGGGAAAGAGCGTACCAACTTCACAGCCAGCAAAAACTGCTTCAGATTCTACAACAGACCAATCTACAGCGGAAGTGCCCAAAACAGACAGCACCAGCGACTCAGCGAAGGAGCCCGAAGACACCATCATGCAGGGTGCCCCACCAATCGAGGAGACTCCGGCGCCCTCAGGTTCTACAACATCAGACCCAGCCCCAAAAACAGGCTCAACATGGGCATTCTGGTCTCGACAATCAGGGCCTACATCGGGAAAGAAGTCAGCCGAGGATTCCGACGAAGGTCAGCTTGCGGTGATGGGGGAAAGCTCGGAACACCGCCCAAAGAGAGCCAAGTCCATGGAGTTCAAAGGCTCTCCACCCAAGGAAACCCCTATCAAGTCTGGTAAAAAGGAGGAACCAGCCAAGGATCTGTCGATCAAGTCTGACAAAACTGGGAAGAAGGAAGAGTTGGCCAAAGCTTCAGCCAGTCCGCCAGGCAAGGCAGCTTCCATCAGGAGATCCAAGAGGGACCGTCCAGAATCGATGGAAATCGATGACACGACCCCCATTCGTCCTGGTACCCCCAAGGCAGTGGAAGCTCCGGCCAAGGGAGCTGCGCAGAAAACACCAGCCTCATCAACAAAAACTACCGCACCCAACCTTGTGCTTCCGTCTTTTAATGGAACCTACAAACTCAAAGAAAACCCCTCGATCGTCAAGCAAATCACCCGTATTCTTCTTCGAGGAAGCCAAGCTCCTTCAAACAAGCACGTCTACATTTCCAAAGACCTCCCCAAAATAAAGAAAGCGATTGCCATCGGCGTTCACGGGCTCTTCCCCGCGAACTATCTCAGGACAGTTATCGGCCAGCCAACAGGCACATCGATCAAGTTTGCCAACCACACCGCCGACGCCATTAAACGCTGGGCAGATAAACACGGCTGTGGAGACTGCGAAATCGAAAAAGTAGCCTTGGAAGGTGAAGGCAAGATTGGGGAAAGAGTAGAGAACCTCTGGAACTTGCTCCTCAACTGGATCGACCAGATCAGATCGGCTGAATTGATCCTCATCGGGTGTCACTCTCAAGGTGTGCCAGTGAGTATCATGCTCCTGGCCAAGCTAATCGAAATGGGCGTGGTCAACAAGGCCAGGGTCGGTGTCTGTGCCATGGCGGGGGTTTCTTTGGGACCGTTCCCCGATTACAGGACTAGTATGGGGTATTTGATGGGCTCGGCGGGGGAGCTGTGGGCGTTTGGGGACCCAAGAAGCGAGGTCAGCCAGCGGTTGGAGGCAGCAATGAAGGTTTGCTTGGGGTACGGGGTGAGGATCACGCTGGTGGGGAGCATTGACGATCAGCTTGTGCCGATGGAGTCGGCTGTTTACGCACCGGTGCACCACCCTTACATTTTCCGAGCGGCGTTTATCGACGGGAGGATCCACGCACCGGATTTTATTGCTCATTTGGTTGGCTTTGCGCTGAAGCTGAGAAACTTGGGGGTTTCGGACCATGGGCTGATTAGGGAGCTGAGCACGCCGCTGGCGGGGAGTTTGTACTCTGGGGAGGGCCACTCGAGGCTGTATGATGACGAGCAGGTTTATGATCTTGCCGTGAGCCATGCGCTGGAGACGACGGATGTGCCGGGAGCGAATCCGGCTGCTGAGATGAGTAGAATGGGGGGCGCGCTGGTGAATCCGAATCCGTATCATTTGCCTTGGATCATGAGGGGGTTGCTGGAGGAGGATTTTGTGAAGAGTGAGTTGGGGGAGGAGACGAGGGAGTTGGTGAGGCAGTTTGATGATTGGAAGCCGGTGACCAAGGCGCTGAAGGATGTGAAGTATCGGTTGGAGGCGGTGAGGTCCAAGTTATAGGAGGATGGCGTTTTTGGGTTGGGTTATTTGCATGGGCGGTAGGTGTTTTTGGTTTGGGGAAGGTGGTAGGCGTTGCTTTTGGGTTGGCGTTGGTGGTTTTTGGGTGTAACAGCAAGGAGTGGTTGGGGAGTTTTGCTTCATGGCGAGGGGTTGGTCGAAGTGTTCAACAAGAGACGACTTTGGGAACAGATGAGACGGAGAGGGGAGCGTTGGGTTTGGGGCATTTAGAGGCGTGTTTGGTAGACAGGACAGGCATGGCTAGCATATTTGGGGGCATATACACAGAGGAAGAGGTGTTACTATGAATGAATATATAATCTAACATTACAGTCGACTTGGCCATTGTTGACCTAGGTCGCTGGGGTTAAACTGAGAGGAGTTCGAGACCACTTCCTTGGCCACCACACAGGAGAATCTTCGAATCTTGTTGGCAATTTGCTTGTGGATTGGTGGTGCTTTGTAGGCATGTGCCATAACTCCTCGTGCCTTCCTTAACTTACTCTTCGCTCCTTCCCTTGCAGAATCCGCTCCTTCCATCGTTCCTCCCTCAATCCCCGCTTGTCCTTTCCGTCATTTCCCCCCACCCCTTTCCCTGCCTTTTCAACTCGAGCTCTCTCTGATGTTAACCTCCACGGCATCACTCCTCAATCTAGTTCGTAGAAGAGATGGGAGTTGCTAGAGGAGGATATGTACCTACCCATCATTAAACAGACCACGACTTTGTAATAAATAGTGAGCAGCGAAAATACTCCCAAAAAAAGGATGAAAAAAAGGAAGGAAAAAGGCCAAAAAGTGACAAAAAAATGACGACCTATTATGGACTCGAACCTTGGGCATCCGGAAAACGTTGCAGGTTGATTCTCTCGTAACGTGGGAACCACAGGTCAACTGCGAGAGACACTCAAGGCCACTAGGTTATCTGGTTGGAGCCCCTTTATGACTGCTGCTCCCAGACTGACCCTTATGGTGAGTGGCATACGCATCACTGTGTGACTAGAGAAGCGGCTTTGGGACACAACCGTCTGAACGCAAATCAGGGTTACTAGAAATTCTCACCCAGTTAAGCAACCATGAGCAACAGTATGTATATCTCACCAGCCCAGGAAAGCACATCAACTCCCTCTCGTATTTCATAACAGGGCAGCAGAGAAAAACATTTGCTACATCTCCTAATAACCTCTTAGATTTCAACATACGGGCATGGGGTGATTGATATCAATGATGATGTGTAGAGGCCAGCCCATTCATTTCATTCTTTCTCTCTGCTTCTCCTCCTCAATCCCCGGCTATATACCCAGCCCCTCCTCCCCTCCACCACCTCCCCCAATCATCAACAACTAATCCATCCATCCCAGCCCCCCATCCGCTATATCACAAAAGAACTTTTTTCCACCTCTCTTCCCTCTTCCCTCTTCCATCCCTTGCCCCCCTCAACAACAGAGAGAAATACAAATGTGTTTTCAACAAAACTAAAAACAACGGGTGTGGCAGAATTTCCCCTCCTCACAGCAAGAAATGGGTGGTATCATGAATAAGACTATGAGAAAACATCAAACAAGTAGAGTAGTACACAAAAGGGTTTCCCAAAAAACATTGATTGGGAAATAATGGGGGGTAGGTGAAAAAACGTGACGGGGATCTAAACATCGTAATGGTTGTGCTGTGGCGAAAAAAAAGAAAAAGGAAAATAAAAGGTGTATCCGTAGGGGAGAGTTATATAATAGCAAGTTATAGTGTGTGAAACCGGGAGTCCAAAGGCCCCAGGGGTGAAGTGTACGCAAGGACCAGGTGTGCGGACAGGATGTTGTGTGGCGATGGTAGATGGTGACCCTAGCGCGAGTGGCTCTGGTAGGCTTCGGTGAGAACTGATCGCAATGTTAGTAAATATCAGAAATGCCGTGTTAATCATGGAACTCACTATGCAGGATATTCATCTGGCCAGCCCGATCCTCGCAGGCAACTTGGAGACCACTGCCCTCGACAAAGTCAAGCACAACGCTGTTGGGAAGCTCCTGCAACTCAACATCGGGGGTATAAGGAGGCTTGAAGTCGGTGATGTGATACCGCCTGAGAAGACCCGCCGCCTTGTTCTTGGTGGGCAGCATGGCAGTGCCAGAAACAGCACTGAGAATCAAGAAGCCTTGGCTGTCGAGGCAAATGCTCCGGCGCTTCCACAAAAGATTGTCGGGGAACTGAACATTGACATCTCCCATGAAGGCAACAATGCTTGGCTGAGCTGGCGAGGCGGAAGGAGTAGCCGTGGTGGCCCTGGAGGCAGCAGCAACCTCGGCGGCATTCTCCTCCGTGACAGTTGGGGAGATGGACGGGGGACCGGCCTTTCTGCTGTTGGGAACAAGAGTGTTGGAAAGGCGACGCATGAAACGGGACGTCCGGCTGCTCTTGCCCGGGTTGGGGCTAGCAGGGCTCTTCTTGATGCTCTCGGCATCAGAGTCAATCGAGACTTCAGTCGTACGGACAGGGGAGAGCACGCCGTTCTGATCAATTGAAGAACGACGGCTGCCAATGCTCAGCCGACGCGCAAAGCCACCAGAAGGCGCAGTGTTCTGATGGCTTGAAGGAGGACGGGGTGAGGATCTCGAGCCAGGGCTCATGGCTTGCCCAGGAGAGGGGGCAAGGTTGTCGGTAGAGGGGGACTTAGCACCCTTGATGAAGTCTTTGACCACGTTCAGCGAGGAGCGTCTCCCAGCACGGGGCACGCCTTGGCCGTCATCTGCAACTGACTCACGATCGTTAGCCGCCGACTGGCTGCCCTTTGAGAGACGACGCTGCAGCAGGGATTGTTTCCTTTCAATCTGGGGTCCATGGTCCAGAGACATCCGGCCTGACAGAGCGCTGAGAGGCCTCGACTGAACCTCCAACGAAACCCGCTTCTGAAGGTCAACCATCAGCGGTGAATGCTGAAGATCGTGTGTGTTGTACTCTGCTGGGTCAAGCTTCTGCTCTGACAGCCTGGTCGGATCTCGCACGATGCGGGCAGTGACCTGAACCGATTCCGGCTTGCCCCGTGGGGGGTTCCCACCTTCAAACATGGAGAGACGATTGACCACCGACCCGGACCTATCGCGCCTGATGATCGAAGCACCATCGGGTGATGACTCCACGGATCCCGGGGGGGAAGGTGTCGGTCTTCCACTCAACGAAGCCGTCCTATCGACCAAGGAAGGTGTCCGTGATGGAATTTTGCCATCTTTTCGAACAGCGAAGAAAGTGGACGATGGACGCTCCTTGGCCACCACCGTTTCCACAGGGGCCCCTGCTTTCCCTGAAAGCTGCTGTAGTGCTTTGATGCGCTCAGAGATACTCGAACCAATTTTGCCTGTCTTGGGCAGCACATCTGCCGCGGGCCGCGGAGCCTTTTGCAGATAGGCACTGGACGAGACAGATCGGGCAGAGCCTGGAACGGCCTCGTTGGGAGACAGCATGGAGCTTCGAACGGGGTTCGAGACTGTCCTCGAAAACCTCGACACGGCATCCAAACCTCCGACGGTGTTTCTCTTAAAATTCGCATCGTTGGGGAAGAATGGCGTGATGGGTGACTTGGAGACGGTAATGGGTGTGGCTTGTTGGACCGTGGCAGACTGCAGCTCATCGATAAAACCATCGTTGTCGAACATGCTGATCACCGATTGCCGCTTGTCCGCTCCAGGCGCATCCAACCCCGTCTTGATGGGCTCAGGGGCAGGTTTTGGTCTGGTGGCTTCTTCCGTTTCTGCGATTTGAGTATCCGCAACAGCCGGAACCGATTGCGTTTCTCGCGCTCTTACGTCGGTGATATCTGACCCTATGTTGGATGGCTGTCCAACAGTAGCTGTGTCAATCTGGCTCTCCACGTTGGCGATAGGTTTGGCGTCTTGAGTGGAGAACTTGGAGAGCGGAAGTCGCGCTGGAGATGTTTCTTCCTCGTTTTCGACCGCTGGTGCAGTCTCGGGATCAGTTGCTGAGGGCTCTTCCTTGACGGTTTCTGCAGAACCGGGACTACCTGCGTCTTCGTTGGAGACTCCGGCTGGGAAAGCCGCAACTGAGAACCGGGATACCGGTAAAGTCTGAACTGGAGGTTCCTGTGTCACCGTAGTGTTGGCGGATGCGGGCGCTCCGGCAGCACTGTCATCTTTCAGAACGGCCGATGCGTCTTCCATGGGTGCAATGATGCTTGTTGCCTGACCATCCAGAGATAGAGCGTCCGGTTTGTGACTGTTGGTCTCGGTTTGCTGGATCTCCTTTTCAATGGGAGTTTCCTTGCCCTGGTCCTTACCGAGAATGGTTTCGTCTGTAGAATCCGAGAGAGACGAAGCCTGGGTTGAATCACCGATATCAGAAGAGGCCAGGGGCGATGGAGGGTGCGAGTCTGTCTGAGCATCGACAGAGCCCAAATCAGTCACGATTTCAATCTCAATGCCTGAATCGGCTTTGTCGATAATGGCAGCTTCCTCTCCCGCAGCTTCAGGTGAAGCGCTTTCCATTGTCACCTCCTGTGGAGTTTCGAGGTGGTTGTCGTCTGCCAGACCTGGAGTGGTGGGTGCCGGAGAAACATCGCCTGCAGACAGGCCTTCCGCGGATTGCGAGTTCATCATCTTTTTCTTTTCTCTCAGCTTCATAGCCTTCAAAAGCCGTGCTTTTTCGGGTGAGATCGTGTTCGGCTTGCTTGGTGGCGGGGCAAGTGTGGCCGTAGGCACTGGTGCTGGGGCGGAGGCCGGGATGTCGCTACTGGTCAAAAATCGAGCAGGATCGTCTTCGACAGGCTTGGTTGGCGCCAGATCTGGAAACGGATTCTCCGGCTCCTCCTTGATCGGCGATTCCAGGACGTCTTCGTCGTCGTCGGCAGAACGGCCTTTCTTGGAAACCTTGGACAGTGCCTTGACACTAGAAGGCATTGATGCCACAAGTTTGGCAGTCCCGCCTCCAGGAGTCTTGGGGCGCCCTGACGCCTCAACTGAGGGCCTTGGACCGAGCCTTACTTTTGGTTTGGGGTAAGGATACGAGCTGCTAGGATAGAGGTCAAGCGAGGACATGCGCCTCCCCGCGTCATCGAACGATTGAGCCGGTGAAGAGGGCCTGTCAACACCCGTAAACTGAGGAGGATCTCGTCCGTCGGTGAATCTGGAAGCGTCGGGTATCGTGGCAAGATCTGCGTTGAGCTTCACCGGAGGCTGTACAACATATTGGCCCGGAGACCCAGGGCGATCGTGTTCCTGCACAGTCGATTGTCTTTTGCGATCTCGTTCCTCTTCCTCTTCTTCCTCGGCAATTTCCACCAATCGTCTTCGGCGCAACGAACTGGTAGAAGATGAAGTCGAACCCGAAGCAGCGTGGAGTGAGCAAGCAGCCGAGAGCTTGGTGTCCTTCAGTTCCTTCGCCTCGGTGATCTCAAACACTGTATCGTGGGGCGAGAAGCGGTCACAAACAGAATCAAAGTGAACGGTCACCCGCGCTGTCGGTTGTCAATCTTCAGCTGCTCCAACAAAGGCAAGGGAGTGCCCTAGGAAGGGCGGGGTGAAACAAACCTTGGACCAATCTGGAACAATCCTCAGGCAGGTATTTGATGATGACATTCCGACGCCTGTATCTCAGATATCCGTACAGCGGCGACTTGTCTGTATACTCTGCTATGTTGTTTCGAATCTCGACAATCCCGCCGGTGCCCTGACCCAGAAGCTCAACTTCATCGCGGCTAGCATACTTGAGCAGGAACCTGGTGGTTTCAGCATAATGTTAGCAAGCAGTTCCCGGGTAGCTAAGGTAAGTTGGAGGTGTAGCTGGGGGCCAAGGGGCAAAAGTCATGACTGGGCGCAATAAGGATTCAGGGATGTGGGTTGCTTTCAGGGAACATACCATCCCCCCGCCTCTGCAACGGCTGCTTCATATGCCTCCTTGACTCGCGGGTCGTCCAATCCATTCAACGACATCTCGGTATACCGCGCTTGTCGAAGGTGGCGCGCCTAGTCACCTCTACCTGCGACCAGAGGATGAAGCGGATGATTGTGGTTAAACTGGCTTCTCGCTGCCTCGACCGCGATGCCGGCGTGGTGCGGAAGATATAATCAAGAACAAATTCAGGGGTTGTAGGCAAGGCTGAACCGTTTTTATCGCACGTAGGTGAGCCGCGTCGTCTCCATGGAGTTGATTGGATATATCCGTCTCGAGGCGTTGTGGCAGCCCGGATGTAAGGCGCGCAAGATCATGGAACGGGATCTTGGATCGGCACCAGCGTTGCAGCAGATCAATCCGACAGTCGGTGGTTGCTTGGAAAGCAGCTTGTTTTTCTCTTAAAGAATGAATCAGACCACAAAATCCGAGCAAACAGCAAATCTCTTCAACAGTCAAGTTGTCTCAATCTCGAATGGTGGAGCTCCGGGCTTGACCGTTGGCAACGACGTTAATTGGGTAATTGAGATCAGATGCACTTCCGTAACGTGGCTCCGTTGGGCATTCGTTCCAGTGGTCGCGTGTAGAATTTAGTTGGGTTGGGTAAAGTAGGTGGGAAAGAAAGAGAAGAAGAGGCAATAACAGGACAAAAGAGAGCAAGCAATAATTCAATCAAGAAAAAGAAGACGACGAAGTAACCGTAAGTAGAGAGAGAGAGAGAGAGAGAGAGAGAGAGAGAGAGAGAGAGAATGTGTGTGTGTGTGTGTGTGTTCGACGAGTGGCAGCAGCAGGACAGAGAACTGAAGTTGTGCCGTTGCTCTGCTTGGGATGCGCCTGCTTCGCAAACGAACTGGGAAAAGGGGGCTCGTCGCGAGAGAGAGAAAAAAATGATTAAGTTAATAATGAGGGGATGCGATCAAAAGGAGGTTGAGAGGCGTCTGGCGTCTGGCGTCTGGCTGCTTGCCGTCGCTCCGTCACGGCGCTCCTCCTGGTGAGATAATTTATCTGCCATTGGCCACTGAATGGGCAAGCAGCAAGGGTGGGGAGTGGGAGACGAGAATGGTCCCAGCACAGGGCATCGTGAGAGTGGGGACCTTGCAGAGGGGTCCAGGAACCGGGCCATGGTGTGAATTTCAGGGGTACCTTCCGGTCTTGGTCTCTCTCTCCTCACGCATAACATTTGTTAAAGAACATGGCGTGCTCAGGTAGCATTCTGGGGATAGTCAAGATAGTTAGCCTTCATGAGAGAGGTAAGGTACACTGAGGAATAGTATGGGAATGGCGTCTTTGTAGCTTCAGAATACCATGTTTATCTCCCAAGACCAGGTGGGCTGTTGAAATTGGTGAATCTCTTCAACTTTCCCAAACTTCAGCTTCAGTCATTTTCTCCTGGAGCCCGAAGGAGGACCCCTGCAGGCCATGCCCGGCACACTTGACCCCTTTGGGAAACCCCCATCTTCCGTTTCAACGGCGCTAAGTTTCGCCTTGGATTCCACTCCAGTTTGATGTCGAAGGCGACCCGAATTCTAGAAACAGAGGGGCGATTCTGTAAAGAGGAGTAGTTGCCGCTGATTCATCACTGAGAACAAGCACATCACCAACCAAGTCTGACTGCATCGGAACCACATACCATGGGCATCTCGTCCTTCGTAACAGAGGACGTTGTGGAGTCGGGGATGAAACGTGGTGACAACTGTGCCATGTGCAGGCGTTTTTAACACCCGGGGAATTTGTCCCACCACAACCACCACCCAACAGCGCGGTATGCACCCACGTTGCATCGTTCGATAACCTTGGTGTAAACCACAGACACGCTTTGACCTTTTGTGACCGAGATACAGCCCCAGTTCTTTCTTCCATTCGCCAGCATTATCGTCTTAACTCCTCGCACCTTTAATGTTGCAGCCATGAGGGCCCGTGCGTCTCGATATCAAGACCAATCATCATGAAGTCGTGGAAGAAGGACGGCAGGACACTTGAACGTCGTCTGATGGCCAAGATAAACAATTGGGATTGTTTCGACGGGAGATCTTCCCATGAAATTATTGTCACACTTGATTCTGCGGTCGAAGATGCAGCCGATCTCTGTGCAGCCTACTATCAGAACGTCAGTTTCACGACTTTATACTTTAACTCTACCTACCCTATTCACGGCATGCCATATACGCATAGAGTAAAGAACTTACCGGTGTTCAGAGATCATATCTATCCATTCCTCCCGTGGTCTGGGTCTGTCCTATTTCAAGATCCAAGCTATTTGGTTGGCATGGTGTGAATTTAAGCATGTAAGGTAAGGTACTTAAGAAAAACCTCACTGCTGTAGCTGCTTGCGGCAACAAAGAAAGGGGAGCAAAAGGGGAAAATATATCAACACCAAAACTGCTCCCATGACCAAGTATCACAAGAACAAAGAACTCATCACGGAGCCGAGCTTACCATGGAAAGTACTAGGTTATGGTCATTATGTCCTGAACAAATATACTCACGCATGAACAACCTCAGGTCAACAAGCCACTATGACAGCTCACCTCTTCATCCCCCTCCTCACCATGTCCTCCCCCACCCCCTATTGCAACACCTGTTAAAGATCACCCCCCGAAGTAATCCTCCTCCCCTGCACCAACAGCTCCCAAACAACCTACTGCTCCCGCCTCTGCGAAGAAGCAGACCTAGCCACCCACCAAACCGAATGTGACCAACCACCCTCCCCTCTATCACCCCTACACCATCACCACCACCAAGATCTACCCTCCATCCCAGAAGAAGAAAACCCCTTCATCCCCTCCCACCCCCTCCCCCTCCGCATAGGAACCCCTCACACCCGCCTCCTAAGCAACAAATACCTCCACAACCTGCCCCAACAAGACGTCTTCACCATCCTAATAGACACCTACCGCCTCCACCTCCACGAACAGTTCAAATACGGCGGTCCCGACAATAACACACCAACAAAACCTCGCCACCACAACACACCTCAACCACCCGGCCCAGATACCACCACGCTCATCACCCACTTCATCACCCTCGCCTCCTGCCGTCTAAAGCCCAACCCCCTCCTCCCACCCTGGTGGTCACCCACCAGCCTCAGCACCCTCCTCGACCTAGCCTCCGGTAACCTAACCACCTCCACCACCGCCCTCCTCCCCGACCTCCCCCCAGAAACAAAGGATTGGCCCAACCTCACCACCCGCCCAGCAATGTCGAAAGAGGAGCTTCGTTCTCACTACTATTATTCTCATAGTCAAAAACAACCATCAACATGAAGCCGAAAATGACAACATCCAGGACGTCAGCAAACCGCCGGGCAGAAACAAACCGAATAGTATCAAAAGGGGCGACTTCATCCTCCAGCTCCGCTACCTGGCCCAGGTCATCTACGGCTGCCCAACCACAGGCGGCATCTCCTTCAAACCCACCATTGCCCTGCTGGCAGAAATCGAAAAGAGAAAAGGCTGGGTGGAAGACAGGCGGTTTTGGGAGTACTTACGGTCTTGAGGTCTTTGACCATATCATGACCTAGGACATGACATTACAAATGCCCCTGCCGTGTAAATCTGTCAGAATTCCAAAAAAAACTGAATATAGCTCAACAGCTCTATCACACCCAAGAGTAAAAAACAACTTTAGCAATCACACCTTCACAAGGGTCACCCAAACGGCACACACATAATATGTTCATACCTAACAAAACGAAGCACATCCCCCTTCATCATCTACATGCCTTCCGTTTTCGCTAAGATTATCAAAAAAAATAAAAACATTCGCGTCTTCACTCTCCCATCCCAAAGACCCATTTTCTTTGCTTCAATAACAACCCTTCATGTGTCTTCTACCCTCTCAAATCCCCATCACGGCCCTCCTGTGGCCCCATTACACTTTCAGCCATGCAACTTCCTTCACCCTTCAGCTCCATCCGATCACTTCTTCACCTCTCAAAAACACCCCTCCTCTGTGGATGCCACCACCGCCGTCGGGTATTCTCCTAAGACTTGACCAGCGGCGGGTTAGAACCCATCGCCGGTTCGGCCAACGGCGGTGCCGGCTCCGTCAAATCCGGGACCTCAACATCTGATCGAGTCCCATCAACAACCACCGCATCCTTCGTGCCGTTACCCTCTACCGAGTTCACCACAGCCTGACTCGACGCCTCCTCAACAGAACCCTCAATTGCCGTCGGTGTAAAGTCCGCTTCCGCTTCTAGTTTAGCAGGGTCACGGCCGTGTCCAAAATTACTGGCCGAGATACCAACCGCGGGCGTGTTTCCTTCAGCAATCTTGGCTTTCGTCTCATTGATAATCTTTTCTGCCTCGCTGAGCTTGCCCGAGGCAGACGCACTGTCCCCCTCGACGCCAATCTCCTTGCTGGATTGCTGGTCGAGAGTGCCCTGCTTGTCAAAGCGGACGATCATACAAGAGAGGTTGTCAGTACTGAAGCGAGCAAGAGCGTGGTCAACAAGTTGTTTCGCTGCCGCGCCGGGGTCCATCGTGTTGCGGACAAGGTCGACAGCCTCTTGATCTGAGGCAACGTCCCACAACTGCAGGATATACGTTAGCATACATGGTACATGCAGGGCAGGATTAGACCTATAAACTTACCCCATCACAAGCAATAATGATAAACTCATCTTCATTTGGCTGCAAAACAGTCTCCGTAGTGTACGGGTGCCCTGTCACCAACTCCTTCATGTATGTGTCGCCCAACGCCCGAGTGACAGCAAGGACACCGTTCACGCGGTTGTTCAATATGAGGCCACCTGCTGCCGAGATGCGCTTGCCCTCATGCTCATCACTGCCCTTGTGGTCATAGGATAGCCGCATAGCCTTGCCCGCCCGACAGAGAACGATACGGGCGTCGCCGACGTTGGCGGTATAGAGAACACGCTGCCTCTTGGAAGCATCTTTTAACCTTGCATGCGCAGCTTCAGGGGCCGCTAATGACGGGGCGCTCTCCCCAGTCTTCGCCTCCTCCGCGGCCTTTGCCAACGCAGGTGCAATGGCCTGAGAACCAGTCACCGAGGCGTTGCTCGGGACCCGGTCTTCCCAACGAAGCACAGCGATGGCGGCGGTACAACCGCTGTTCTTGACTGGCAAGTTTGCCAGCTGCTGATCAACAGCAGTGAATGTTTGGTCGAGCAGCTCGGGTATCGGCGAGTTTGGATTCTTTTTGATGATGTCTTCGAGGATAAGATGAAGCTTCTTTCCGCACCAGTCGGCAGCAAACGTGCCGGCATGCCCGTCGAAAATCGCAAAGTACCCATTGTCCGTCTCTACCATGTCGCTGCCACCAGCCACATCGGCATCGCCCGAGGACTTTGACGACTTGGAATCTGTACCGAGAGCCGGGGCTGGCGTACAGAGAAAGTTGTACAGGAATGCATGGGTGTCCTCCATCGTCCGCCTGCATCTCTTGTTGCGATCCTCCCAAACACCGACTTTGAAGGTAGATCGAGGGCCGGGGAGCGACGAGCCGGCGGCGTTGTTGTGCTGGCCCTGGGGCACGGCGAGTGCTTGATCTTTCTTGCCTAACTCTTCCAGAAGAGCCTGGTCCGTATTCTTAGAGTTAGCACCCGCATCGCTGTTGCTGCCCTTCCCAGACTGAGTGAAGAGAGTATTCTTCGCCTGGGCTATGAGGTTGCTGGCTTTGGCGCTCACCCCGCTGCTCCGGCGCTTCTTCTGCTCAGCCGAGCTGCCCGCGCTGGGAGGACTGCCATTGCCACTCCGCCTCTCGCCGCTCGCAGCCTGTTCGGTGGATTTGGTAGGCGATGGTGTAGCGCGGCCGGCGTCGTCCTTGTCCGGGGAAGGAGACTTGCTGCCAGCCTTGCTGCTCGAGTCCGCGATGCCGCTGTCTGACTTGGAACTGCCAAACATCCTCAGCAGGCCTCCCTGGGAGAGACTGCGTAGTTTGCTGCCTGCCAGATTGGATGTTTTAACGAAATAGGGGGCTTGAAAGAAGATGGCCCCAGACGTGATCGAGGGATTCAACCGGGAGCAGTGGAACTCGGTGCGCTTCGGTGTATGGACTTGGAAATAGGCGCTTGCGTGGCGGTGGTGGTGAAGATGTGCGAGTTGATCCAATGGGCCACGAGGTGAGACAGGATGGCAGTGATGGGCAAGAAGACAGGAGGGACAGGAAGATCGTTGGTGGGTTGGTGCCTGGGTTGTCTGAGGGGTCTTGTGATGGGAGGTGTCCTGGGATGATGTAATGGCCCAAAGCTGCGGCGGCTGTTCTGGGTAGGTGCAGATGGCAAGGACTGCGGGAGTTGTGGGAAAGTGTGGAATCAGTTGGAGACGACGAGAGAATACGGTACGGTACGGTACGGTATGATGCTGTGTCTGACAGCGGGTCAACTCTCAGGAGGCCAGGCCGGTGTCGATCTGCCCGGCTGTGAGGCTTTGTCACGCCTGTCTCTGCGGTCCGTGGTTGTGTCGGTGGGTGTTGCTTGCAGGCGTAGCTGGGCGTCAGCGGCACGAAAGTGGGGTGATGGGAATCGATAGGCTGGGCACTAACGACCCTTGTCTCCCAAGGTTGCCAAGATGTCAGGGTTGTTGGACAAGGCAGCCCGTGAGGTTCTTGGGCTACTTTGATGTTTTGACGATGTTCAGGTATAGGTAGGCAATAGATGGATGGTAGCAGAAGCTGTCAAATGTGTCTTCAAGGCTGTTTTCAATAATTGCAACTAGGAAGCAGTGGTGGGGTGTACGCTGATGTAATGTTACATACACCCCAGATGAGCGTGAACAAAAGAACCGAGCTCTTGGGGACACCCATAGTAAACCCATAGATCATCTAAACTACCACTTCATAGTCCTGCTCCCAAAAATGTACATGCCTACACTTGTCATAAATCATCCGCCGCTTGGAAAGAATACCAGTGCGCCTTCCAGGTTGTTTAACAGAAAAGCAGAAACAGACGAGCCGGAAGAGGGTTTATATCATCCCCAGCCCCCATTAACGGCCTTGTAAACTTGGTGACTGCCCATAGAAAGCCGAACAGTTTCAAGTAGCACTCCAACTCCGTAAGAACCTAAACCCACAAGCCATAACCGGATACAACACCACGCCTCCGCAATCATCGTCTGAGACTGTCCAGCCGGGCTTGTAGGTCGTCGTCCCCGGGATCTGCTCCGCCGCCTCCTCCTCCAACCGCCTGCGCAATCTTGGTCTCCGGCACGGATTGGGACTGGAGACCTGAAGGTGTTTCGCCGAGCTATAATTTGAATTCAATCAGCACGCCAGAAGAAAAGTCTTGGCAGCCACTGGTACTTACTGCTTGGCTCAAGTCTACACCAATCTCCTCCAAGACCTGTTCCACAATCTCATCACCCTCCTCTTCAGCACCGACGTCCATGGCATCATCAATAGCATCGTCCATCATCTCTTGCCTTTGCTCCATGATGTCGTTCTCCCGCTCAAACTCCATGGCGATTCGCTGGAGAGAGGGAAGGTTCATAGTACGGTTCATGCTCCCAAGTGCCATCGTAGCACCCTTCATCGCCTGCATCATCTGCTCGTTCGTGCGGTAGGTCTGGAGGCGGAGGGAGATCTTTTGCAGCTGGCTCTTCATGCCGTAGAACTTGTCAATGTATCGTCTGGTGCGAACCAAATCCTTTGCTTGAATCTTGCAAGCACCCATCTGGCCCTTCTGGGCGCTCTGGCGAATCTGGGCGACGAGAGCCTTCTCCTGCTTCTCCAGCTTGACGCGCTGCTGGTCCAATTCCCTGATCGCCTTGTCGAGGAGTCGCTGGTTCTTGCGCAGACGCTCGGCCGGCGTCATGCGCTTGCCGAAAGCCCATTCTAGGATCTTGAGATGGTCAGTCCTAACTATGCTGAGGTGTAGTGGGGCGGTGCGGGAGACTCACATTCATCTTGCCGCTGTGATTCTCGAATGTGTGCAGAATTAGGTGTTGAGGGACGAAATGCCGGCAGACCTGCTGGGCCGAAGACGTGTGTAGTTGAGTCAATGAAGAAACCAAGAGCAGGCTGCGCCGAAGTTGGTGGTGGTCTTGGTTGTCTTGGAGATGCGCTATCAGTCAAGGCAACGGCCTGTAATCCAGCCGCGGACGCGCAAGCCACTCTGAGGTTTTGAGCCACACCACGCTAAACACGGACGCTCCCAGGGAAGCAAACCCACAGTGACCTCATCCAAACCCAGCTTTTGCCCCGCAAATTGCATGTGTTCATGACCCCAGGACAAGGTCATGGGAGTCTGTATCTCAAGAGGAAGTGCATCGATAATGCAAGGTGGACTCATTTTGGTCAGAATATGGGATAGTGAATACTGTTAGAGTATATCTAGCTTATTTCTGCTCTTCAGACCCTTTGTTCACCTGTTAGCCCGCGCGGAGCAGTATCATGATCTCAAAGTATAGAGCTCCGTATGGAAGAAACGCCCTATCGGTGCTATCAGAAAATGGAATGTTCGGAAGGGCAACAGCCAATCAGAATGTGCCTTTCCTTGCGACGAACGGGAGATTTGCCGCTCCGCTAAAAATCATGCGGACGACGGGGAGCCATGATGAAAAACGTCAACCGAACAATTGCCCGACCTGCCATAGCCTACGGATGTACCCAAACCTTCGTTATGAATTTTGACTAGACTGTCCTGCACACCATCTCCCCTCCACCCTCCCGATACGTGGCACGCTGTCACCATGAGCCAAGAGTACTTTTCGCCAAAGGGCAAGGGTGTCCGGCGGCCCAACGACAATGCCACTCCCGATGCCGATGCTCATCATGAGCCGAATGATGCCGACTCAAATTATGACCGCCCCCCGCGCGCTTCGACCGCGCCCTCGTACATGACTGTAGGGAACGGTTCTTCGGCAAACGCTGCACGACTTCAAGCCATGCTGGAACAAGACTCTGGATACGGTGGCAGCATCGCCGGTGACGACGTCAACTCGTCGCTTTTCAACCCGGCGTCTTCGGGTTGGGACAATGTGATTCACGAAGACCGGCCAATGCGTGGCGGCCATAGCAACGAAGCCGACCGCTCCGCTCAGGCCAGCGCCGTCCATCAGCTCTGGTATAATCAGCACCGAAACACCCTCGGCCGGGCCATCAGCACCGTCGTCGAACTCTTGAGCGACCTGCAACGCTTCAACGAGACATGGCCTGCCCACTACCCCTCAGTCCAGCGGGCTGCCCTCGATTCCCCCTCCCACCCGTCATCGAGACCCGGTTTTCACCAGGCATACTCGACCGCCGGTGATCTGGCAAATGGACCGCAGTTCAACGCCGCTCAGCCGCCCCTCCGGCGAGCTATGACCTCCGTCGAGGACGCCGCCGCCGCCGCCGAGTCCAGCCGAGCCGCCGAGACCAGAACCGTCGCCGAGCCCCGTCTTGTGTCGCCTCAGATAGCCCAGGAATTTTCCGTCTTGAAGTTGGATTTGAAGCTTGGTTCCCTCCACCAGACGGAACTGGTACACTCGCTGGAGAAGAGCTCGGTTGCTGCGTTGCTGGACGGGAAGATTCAGTCCAGTATCAGACATCTACAGGCTCTTCGGGAGCGTATCGAGGACACCTCCAGCAAGGTCTTGGTCACGGGTGATTTGAACGCTGGCAAATCGACATTCTGCAACGCCCTTTTGCGACGAAAGGTTCTCCCCGAAGATCAGCAGCCATGCACGAGCATTTTCTGCGAGGTATTGGATGCGAGGGAAAACTGCGGCATTGAGGAGGTTCACGCTGTACACAGGGATGCTGTTTACAACCGTCACGACGAGGCTACCTACGATGTGTATCCTCTGAAGGACCTCGAGAGAATTGTGATCGACAACACCGTGTACATGCAGTGCAAGGTATATGTCAAGGACGCCAGGTCGATCGATGAATCTTTGCTGAATAACGGTGTGGTTGACATCGCCCTTATCGACGCCCCCGGTCTCAATATGGATACCACCAAGACTACAGCTATTTTTGCACGACAGGAGGAGATTGATGTTGTGGTGTTTGTGGTCTCGGCCATGAACCACTTCACCCAAACGGGTACCGAGTTCATTCGAGCGGCCGCCGCTGAGAAGGCCTATCTGTTCGTCGTTGTCAACCATTTCGACAATATCAGGGACAAGGACCGGTGCCAGAAGCAAATTCTCACCCAAATCCGCGGTCTCAGCCCCGCGACATACAAGGAAGCCGGTGAGCTCGTGCACTTCGTCTCCAGTTCCGCCATCCCAGTAGCACCAAACCCCCCTGGAGGCCCCGGCGGCGGTGGTGGTTCAGGAAGTTCCAGCGGCGGCGGGTTCGGCGATGACCCGGGTGATAATGACCCCAAGGGCAAGGGCAAAGACAAGGAGATGGCCAGAGACTTTTCTGCCCTCGAGCAGTCTTTGCGTAGATTTGTGCTGGAGAAGCGCGCTCGCTCCAAGTTGGCTCCTGCCAAGACATATCTCACCAACATTTTGAACGACGTCAACGTTCTCGCCACTGTCAACACCGAAGTTGCCCAGGCGGAATACGACCGTGTGAACTCGGAGCTGCAGGCGCTGGAGCCCCAGCTTGAGGCTGGCAAGAGGGCCAGGGCAGAGATCAGCGAGCAGGTTGACCGGACCATCGAGGACACTTGCCAGGAGGTCTACGACTACTCTCGCACGACCATCAACTCGGCCATCAACCACGCCGGCGATGATAACCTGGGAATTGAGTACCCCGGTCTCTTCAGCGCCTTCCAGTATGCCGATGATCTCAAGGTTGCCATGCTTTCCCACATTGCCGCCTCGGTCGTCCACTGCGAGGAGAACGCCAGAAAGAAGACGGTTGCTGGTGTCGAGTCGATAAAGAAGCTGGGTATCAAGCATCTGGGGGATGAGTACCAGAACCTCAACTTCAAGTCGGAGGTCATGTTCCAGGGCCGGAAGGATGCTTTGGCTCGCCAGGTGGACATTTCTACCGAGTTCGCGGACTTTGTCGACTTTTCGACGCTGATGCAGAGGGAGGAGAAGGCCGGCATGGCGCTCACGGTGGCGGGTGTGGTTGGTACAACTGTTATCAGTGGGTACAGCCAGGTGAACCTCGCTTTTAGAGCGGCTCAGATTTTGGGGAGTGAGAACTTGAGGAAGTTGATTATTCCGGGTGTTATTGCTGGTGGTGAGTTTTTTCTTTTCTCTCGTGTGACCATTATCAATAAGCTGACATTTTCCACAGCTGCTGCTCTGGCGTTTTATGTCCTCTCTCAGATCCCTCACTCCCTTCCTGCCCGCCTCAGCCAAAAGATTGCCACGCAGCTTGAGGCGATGGATTATGTTCATCAGAACAGCAGCCGGATTTCGGGGAAGGTGAGAAAGGTGTTGCTCATTCCGGCGAATAACCTCAGGGTTGGGCTGCAAAAGTCGGTGGAGCAATTGGGCGCGAGGAGGGATGAGACGGTCAAGGTGAGGAAGGAGAGCAGTGATGCGTTGAGGTATTTTGGGAATCTAGTGCAGAGGAGTGCGCATCAGAGGCAGGTGGTGGAGGGGGTGGATTTGGATGGGCATCCGCCGGGTATGGCGGGGCATCCGGGGTATTGAGGGGGAGTTGTATAGTATGATTGATTGTTGCACATGATGAAGATGGGGCGTTATTTGGCTTGGGGGGCTGGAGGGAAGGGGGAGGGTTGGAAAATTGGAGACTTCCTGAAATGCATACGTGAAAACAGCGAACTGATGGGAGGAGAGAAGGGGGGTGAGGGGGGTATGAGTTATATCACAAGAACCTGAGTTATTTTTCTACGCTCTTTCTTTTTTGTTTTTTTTTTGTTTTTTTGTGGATGAGGATCTCCTACATGATGGCTCTCTTTTGTTGAGTGCGTGTGATGGTTTGTGGATCGGGGGAGAGAAAAATGTCGAGGTTGTGTAGGCAGGCAGGCAGGCAGGCAGGTAGACCAAAACAATCAAATAAGGCCCTCTCCAATTCGATTATTCTCCAGTTTAACAACTGAAGCTTCCCTTTGGTAAACAAACACACAGCTCTTGTGAGTAATACAATGCTTTTCTTTCCTAGTAAGCAAACATCGGAATTCTGGAGTCGGCAAAACACAAAAAGCTCGCTCACATCCACACTTTATTGGATTGTGGTGCCCGGCGCCGAAAACTCCCAGAGGCTTACCACTTGGCCATTTGGCGCAGAGTGTGCTGCTGTCCTTGTTGGTTGGTAGTTGCTGGAAGAAATACAAATACCGTGGTTGTGTTGCTCCTTCCTGTTGTCGTCGACAATAAGGAAGCAAGGTGAGACTTTGGATGATGAACTGGGTGGGTGGTGTCTTCCCCTGTTGTCAAACACAAAACCCGTCAATACAAGGCACCTACTTTAAATGTTTGTACATTTCTCTCATTTCACAGATACATCTATCTACCCTACCCTATCTTACACACTCTCTCCTTACTTGCCCACCCATCTAATTCCTCCCCAACTTCCAACTAGCAATAATATCCTGTATCTGCTCCCACCCAATCACCTCCTGCCTCCCACTCCCATGTTGACTCGCCTCCTGCAACACCACCGTCGGCGCCCCTGACCCCCCGCCCGGGTTGTTCACCAACCCACCAAGCACCTGCTTCGCCACCCTCCTCAGGTCCTTCGGCGTCAACCGGTTGATCTGGCGCGTCATCTCCCTCACTGGGATCTTCCTCCCGTGAACCTGCACCTGTCTTCCCAAATCTTCCAGCTCAACCATCCTGCTCTCCAGGTTCATCAGCAAGCTCGACCGGAGCTGGTTCTTGGCCCGGTTGACCTCTACCTCTCCAAGGCCCGTGTACCCCGAGTCGTGGGTGAGAGCCTGGAGCTCGCGGCACATGACGTGGAGCATGGGGATGGTGCGACCTGGATAACATGAGGCTGCGATGCCGAAGAGACCAGAGTCCTTGTAGGAGTGGTTGAAGGCTATGCAGGACTCTACCCAGCCGTGTTGGTTGAGGACGTTGGTGTACAGACGAGAGTACATGCCCTTTCCTGGGCCGCCGGCGGAGAAGGAGCCGCCGCCGCCAAGAAGGGTTTGAAGAGTGGCCAAGGCAAAGATATCTGGAGAGGAGATGGGAAGGCCTTCGAAGCAGAGGTGGATATGGGAAAATGTGGGGAGATTGGGGTTGATTGGCGGGGGCTGAGTTGGGAGGGTGAGGAAGCCGCCGGTATAGGTAGCTGGACGGTTGAGGTCGGCTTCGGTGATAGGGGTGACTACTGGTCGAAGGATTGAGGATGGGGAAGATGACTGTTGTGGGGCGAGGTTCTTGAGTATCTTGCCAAACAGGCCGGAGGGTTGTTCGGGTTCTGGAGATGTTGGTGGTGTTGAGGCAGCTGAGGAGGCCTCGCTTGACGAGTCAGTGGGAGTGGTTGGTTCTGATACAACCGGTCTTGAACGCTCCATATCACCAAAGTATTTCTGTGCAAGCTCGACGGCCTCGGCGTGAGGAACACCGGCAAAGGCCACTACCATGCGGTCTGGTTGGTAGAAGGCGTCCCTGTAGGCCTGGATAACGTCCTTGTTGATAACGCTCAGCCTCTCCTGAGGGCAGAGCAAGGGGTTCCCTAATGTGTTGTCCTTGAAAGCAGCTGTATGAACCAACTCTGGCAAGATCAGCTCCGGTTTGGACCAAATCTCTCCCACTTCGTACTCGGCCGTCTCGAGTTGTTGACCAATTTCCTCGTCGGTCAATCGGGGGTTTCGGATCGTGTCGGCCAACAGTTCCACGGTGGTAGGAATGGCAGAGTTGAAGGTTGCTGCTTGGTACATCATGGATTCTCTGGAAGAAGCGCATTGGATATTGCCGCCCAGTTGCTCTACTGTCTCCAACATCTCGTCCGCTGATCGTGATCTTGTCGACTTGAAGGCTAGCCTGTCCATGATGTGACTGGCTCCCCGGAGGGAATCGTTCTCGTATCGTGATCCGGCATCGATGTAGACTCCCACTCCCGAGAAGGCATCGGGCAAATCCTCAGAGGCGACTCGAATTCCATTTGGTAGCGTGGTGATCTTGTCGGTTTCTGTTGGGTCCTGCAACCGAGGGATATGTTAGCCATGTATTGCTGGCCTGACTCTGTCATTGCTCTTCGTCTCATCTCACTCTTGTTGCACGTTTATTAGCCTTTGCCTCCCGATGTGCCCTTTCGTATTTCAAGACATGCTCAGTGGCATAGCGCCTTGGGCCGACAGGCGAGTAACTCGGCCTCGCGGGGTGCCATGGCAGATGTGTCTGGTTCAACAGCCTCGTGGGCCGGCAGGATCTGAACATGACTGCGGCGAGTGGTCCGGCAGCAGCAGACCAGGTGACAATCCGGCTTGCGCGAGGCTGAAATATCGAATGCGATCTTCCTGAGGGGGTTGCGCAACTCAACAAGCACCCACCAAGGCAAATCCATCCATGATGTTCTTGAGCTTATCGATAAGATATTCGCAGCAGCACTACGGGTGGGCCTTACGTAAGGCTGCGACTACCCCTGCACCATCACCAGCCTGCAGCTGGCCAAGCACATACACACAGTCAGCAACACAGTGCGCATGGCCCAGCCAAGTAATGTAAAAAGCAGGGTTGATCAAATCATGCGCCGCGCAGAGCAGAGACAAAGCTGCAACGGCTGACCTCGACACCGACTCCTACAACAGACAGATGTCTTGGCTGTTCGACGTCGTGAGGGGACACGACAGGAAGGACGGAAAAATAAACACTGGGATATCAGAAAACCTGGAAGTAAGGTAATTATCCCAGATATTTCTGGAACACTGAGCTACTACTAGACTGTAAGAGTTTCCCATCGGTCCTGCGAGTGTGGCGGCCTGGCCGACCGAAGCGGTTGAACCATACATGGCTGCTGCTGACCTTTCTGCCCTATCAGTCGCGCCTAGGGGAAGCCTAGGCTCTGAACGCCCCCCTCAGCAAAACCCCAAATCTCCCAACCACTAAACCGCGACGTGCTTGTTACGATACCCACCGCAAATTTCACCCCCTTTGACAACGTCTTCCATCCGCCTCGTTTTTCTGCCTCCATGTAAACCTCGGTGCACACTTTGACTTTGCTCAATGTTTACACAACCTGTAGCCTCGCCCACATCCCCGGGGGCTCCGGTATCACCTGGTCCAGTCTCGCCCACAAGGACCAGTCGTCTGAGAGGCCTGAGTTACTTTCGTAATTACACCCAGAACCACCTCCTGTCCCGCGAGCACAGCGCCCACGCCCACGCCCACGCCCACACCAACCAGAGCCACCAACAACACCACCAGGCAAACTCCCCGACTCACAATCCATCCTTGAACTCTCCAGCACTCCCCTCTCCCGGCCTGCCTATCCCCCCTCCCACGTCAGAAGCCAACAGCCATTATAATCATAATAACATCACCAACGCTACTACCAACAACACCCACGGCCACCCCTCGCACACAAGTCGGTCCAATCCCTTCTTGCAGCCCGCCCCGACACTAGCCCAACCCCTCGTCCTCCCACCCTCCACCGCATCGCCAACCTCCTCCGGCCTTTTCCCCGGCGATCCTTTGAATTCTGCCCTCACCGAAAGATCTGGAGGAGTTGGAGGACTTGCCCCTCCCGCCAACACCACCATCATGACCCGGGCTCGTTCCGCCACCGTGGGGGATGCCGTCTTGTCGCCCGACCCAGGAAGCTCGAGCGCCGACATCCTCCCCTCGATCCGATTCAGCGCCTTTCACGACACCCGTGCTACTCGCCCGTCCCTCAAGTTCCCCACCATCTCGCGTACGCTCCCAACTGGCAATGAAGTGATCCGCGTAGGCAGATACTCAGAAAGAGACAACCAGCCCAATATCCCCAGCAACATGCCTTCTGCGGCGCCCGTAGGGTTCAAGAGCAAGGTTGTGAGTCGACGGCACTGCGAGTTCTGGTACGAGGATGGCAAATGGTACATCAAGGACGTTAAGAGTAGTTCTGGCACCTTTCTCAACCACATCCGTCTCAGTCCCCCCGGCACCGAGTCGAAGCCATTTGCGGTGAACGATGGTGATATTGTGCAGCTGGGTATTGACTTCAAGGGCGGGGAGGAAATGATCTTTCGCTGCGTCAAAATGAGGCTTGAACTAAACCGCGGGTGGCAGAATAAACTTAACGCCTTCAAGTAAGTCTCCTCGTACATGTACACCCAGAAATCTGGGCGCCACCCGCTCGAATACTGGCTTCATGTACTGACACTCTGATGCTAGCCTAACCTCACACAAACGCCTTCGAAACATGACGGCTGGCTCGGCCCAAGACTCTTCAGCTCAGTCTTACACCCAGGACTGCTCAATATGTCTGAATAGCATCGCGGTAAGTCTTGGTACCCCTGGGCGGACTCCACTTGGTTAGCCAACAAGGTTCTAACTCTGTTGCAGCCATGCCAATCCTTATTCGTCGCTCCATGTTCCCACACATGGCATTTCAAATGCATCCGAGCCCTGCTCAACTCCCCATCCTACCCCATTTTTATCTGTCCCAACTGCCGCGCAGCCGCCGACCTTGAGGCCGAAGTAGAAGACCCCGAAGAATGGGAGCAGCTGGATTCCGACGAAGGGGCCAAGTCCAACCCTGAAGGGACCTTACTAGCCCCCGCTACCAGCGAAGCCCAACCACGAAAGTCTAGGGAGTCTGTCCGGGCCACCCGACAAGCTACCCTGATTGCGCCGCAGCAACCACCTCTACCAATCCCTGTTCCAGTAATACAAAGCGAAAGTGAATCAGATGTGGTGATGGTGGATGTTCCAGCACAGCAGCAACAGCAACAGGCACCTCCCGTTGCAGAAATCACACTCATCGACACACGAGAGCCAACAACGAGCACAAATGCAAGCCGCCCACCATTTCAACATGCCCAGTCAAGTCCCGTGCCCATTCATCATGCGTCTGGGCACAGGACACCATCTCCTACGGGTCCGTTAATCGCCGGTAACAACGAGGGGCCGATCACGCCGAGGAATGATGCCGGGCCATGGGTCTTTGACGGAAGTGGGCTGAGGCAGAGGGCGGACGGGGGAGGAGCAACGGCTCAGGGTGCGCTACCTGCCACTGACACTGCGAGCTTCGAGCGTGTGATGCAGAGTACTAATGAATTTTCTAGGTTGAATGAGCACATCGCCAGCCAGCAGCAGCAACCAAGTTGACCACGGGTTTTGCCGTCATTAAGAGATTAAGTGGTGTTGCGTTTTGGGGGAGTTCGTTGGAGTTTGGTGTCTCTACTACTCACCGCTACTACATATTTTTGCTGACGGAAACGAAGGCACGACAGCAGGAATGGGGTTGATTCGGTATAAAGCATGTATCTCTCTTTTTTCTTCTTGTCTGTGAAGAGGACAAGAGAGGGAGAAGGAGGGACAGAGAGGGAAACATTGCGAGTGTTTTTTTATTTTTTTGTTTTATCTTTTTATGTTTTATTTTTGTTTTTTTTTTTTGTTTTTTTTGTTTTTTTTGTTTTGTTTTTTTTTGAAATTTGGGCATTAAGAACGGAGTTTTCATATCAATATCTTTTTTTCTGATTGGAGTGGGAAGGGGGAGGGGGGGAAACATTGCAACATTGCAACACAACACACACAGCAGAAGGAATGGGAGGGGGAGGAAGGTGGAAATCTTTGTTTGCTTTTTTCTTGGATGGGAATGGAAACGGATAATTGACTTTTGGTTTTGGTTTTTTCTCTCTCTCACACTCACACACACTCGCAGTCATCAAGTCCCTCCTCTTGTTTTGCTGCTTTTTTGTTTTCATTGCGGTTGTGTTGTTGATGTTTTTTGCTCTAGGATATATTATTCATCGCTGAAGAACTGTTGAATATTTGTTGTTATATCCCTCCTCCCCCCCCCCCCCACCCCCCATTGTACTGATTCATTGCTGGGTGTTCTGGGTGATCGATGCAAGGCACCTAACGGCAGTTGATTGACTAAGAAGCCAGAAAACAAAAAAACAGAACGGCTTGATTTGCTGACATATGGTCGATATGCATGACATAGTCGTATCTCTCTGAAACGAAATCAGCGCCTGTGTAGAACGGCGTGTGTGTTATTCTCAGTACAAGCCAGGGCAAGGAC